CCGCCCGGCATCTCTTCACAGACCCGGCTGAGATCGAGGCCCTGCGAGGGAACCTGCTCGCTTGGTACGACAGATGCAAGCGGGACCTTCCCTGGAGGACACTGGTAAGGGGAGACGTCGGGAGGCAGGGGGCTATAGTGGGGAATCAGCTCCTCCGCCTTACGGCAGCGTAGCTGAGGTAACCGCAGTGCCTTTTCCCACGCGGTGCACCCCTGGCTCCGGGCATGTTGGAAATGGGAGAGTGCTCCCAGCTAGTCCTGTGTGGCTGGTCTGTAGCCAGTCCCTAGGTACAAAGAGCAAAACAGGGCACAGGGTGAAACCACTCTTCTCACACGTAGCCTTCGACCAGGAATGCTTTTCTCTGGTAAACTTAGTCTAGTTGTCTTCGAAACCTGTTGCTGCCCCTGTGGTACCCTGCAGCAGCGAGTGCTGCGTGGGAAAGTTTTTCTGTGTGTTTACTTTAAGTCTGCCGAGCATCTTTATTAGAGCTCCTACCTGCTCTGTGCTCAGCCTGGCAACAAGTGGCTAGACTTAGGGTGCTGGGGGTGGGTCTCAGCTTTACAGCAACGTCTGTCTGAATGGTGCTGGGAACTGCATGGCCGTTCTGTGGGATTTCCATCTACCTGCAATTGCTTCCCGTGCAGAGGGGCTTGGGTCTCGGACAGCTCCTCTGGTGGGATCTTTGAACCTCTAAGGGGAACTCTCACTGTGGGAGATGTGCAACATCCCTCATGCTTTGTCAAGGGGAAGGTGCTCTGGCTGTCCTTGGTTAACCTGAACTCAGAACTACTGAGTGCTTAGGGTAAATATTTTTTTTGCAGATCCCTATACACTGTTCAAAATACACCACAAGCAATTTTATTTTATATGCAGGTCCCCTCTGTGATGGTGTTCTGTCTCACCTTGTTTCTCGCACTCCATCTTCTTCCCCTTTCAGGCAGCAACTGAGCTGGATGCTGACAGACGGGCATATGCAGGTGAGGAGCGGGGACTGCGCCCCAGTATGCGTGGGGTGCCCTGCTGCATGTTGCCCACTGACACAGACGTGCAATACAGCCTCGTGAGGAAACGTACCTTCAGTTGCCATCCTTAGAACAAGCTGCCTGGAGTGGCCACAAGAGCCACTGACCCCCCTTGCAAGGTGCTGGGGGGTCAGAGAGCCCACTTTAGGCCTGAGGGAGCTCCTGTAGGGCAGCACATGTGGAAGGTGAGGGGTGGGAAGGGGTCCTGTGGGTTGGATACTGGTGCAGTGCTTGCAGGCAGTGCTAACATGGCCATGGTATGAGGTGTGGGTGGTTTGGTGCCTCTGCTCTGACCCCTGCCCTGCTCCCTGCAGTGTGGGTGTCTGAGATCATGCTCCAGCAGACGCAAGTGGCTACAGCAAGTGGCTACAGTGATCGACTACTACAACCGCTGGATGCAGGTGACTGCTCCTTAGAGTCCTGTGCCCACAGGCTGCCCCTTTTGGAGGCCTTGTCCACTGCCTGTGGCAGATCCTTAGCTGCAGAACATGGCTCTGCTTGTCCCTGACTTGTCCCCTTCCCTCTGTACCGCAGAAGTGGCCGACACTGCAGGCTCTGGCACAGGCATCCCTGGAGGTGAGCATTGCTGGGACCGGGTGCTCTCCCTGCCCTCGTGGCTCTTCATCTAATACCACACTGTGTCTCTTGGAGCAGGAGGTGAATGAGCTGTGGGCTGGACTTGGCTACTACTCAAGAGGGAAACGTCTGCAGGAGGCAGCAAGGAAGGTGCCCTGGTGCTGGAATGTGGGGGCATTTCCGAAGCCCTCTGTGGCCTGTGCATTGGTGCTGGCTCACATCTGCCCTGCATGGCTGGGGCTGTGTGCTGCTGGCACAAGGCTACAGAGGTTGGGCTCTTGTCTTACTGTGGGTGAAATGGGTTGCATGCGCACACCCCCACTGCTTCCCTGACCTCAGCCGTGTCTCTGCCAGGTGGTGTCCGAGCTGGCTGGCCAGATGCCCAGGACAGCTGAGGATCTGCAGAAGCTGCTGCCGGGAGTGGGCCGATACACGGCGGGAGCCATTGCATCCATCTCGTACGGGCAGGTGAGACCTGGGCAGCAGTGGACATGTCTTCCCTCACTGCCACCCAGCCCCACTCCTGGTGGGGTCCTGCTGCTGGGTCTCGCCAGCCAGGGGCTTCCCAGGGCTGTCCTTGGCTCTGGCTCTCCCCTGCTTTGCGGTGCATCTTGCTCACTGCCCAGCTTGGCTGGTGGGTATGCCTCGTGTGTATCCCCTCTCCATCCTGGGAGCACCCCAGCTCCTAGCCTTGCCAGGAGCACCTGGCATGGTAACTCCAACTTCTGGTCCCAGGCTACTGGCGTTGTGGATGGGAATGTGATCCGGGTCCTGTGCCGCCTGCGGTGCATTGGTGCCGACTCTAGCAGCCCAGCTGTCATTGACCGGCTCTGGTAAGGGGAATGCTGCTTCCCTGCTCCAGGCTGTGGCAATAGTGGTTGTGCTTGTTGGTGGCCGAGGGCAGGATCACTTGGGAGCTGTGGGGAGCTGAGCCTGCAAAGGGAGAGATGTGTGGGCTGCAGGAGCTCTTGGGAAACTGGTGCTGCTGGGAGCGATGGAGAAAGGAGCCATGTTGCCTCTGCCTGCCTAGGAGTATCCCTCCTTATAGGCAGGAGGCAGGCAAAGGTTCCAGGGCCCTTTCCCCTCAGAGCCCCATGCCGCTCACTGCCATTTCTCCCAGGGACATGGCCAATGCCCTGGTAGATGGGAGCCGCCCAGGGGATTTTAATCAAGCCCTGATGGAACTGGGGGCAACTGTGTGTGTGCCCAAGGCTCCGCTGTGCGGGGAGTGCCCCGTGAAGCAACACTGCCGAGCACGACGCAGGGTAAGTACGACCCCAAAATCTGGCCCTGAGGCATTGCTGTGCATGGTGACAAGGTGAGCTGGTGGATCAGCCTGTGCTCATTCCTGTTCCCCCTTGCAGGTGGAGAAGGAGCTGGCCTTCGCCTCTCAGAAGCTGTTAGGAAAAGCTGCCCCAGTGCTTGATGTTGAGGACTGTGGTAAGCACGTGAGGAGATCCATGTTGTAGCTCTGGGTCTGGGCCCTGCCACACCTGTTAAATCTGTGTTTGCAGGTGTTGGGGGCTGTCCGCTGTGCCCCCCAGCCACAGAGCCATGGGACAGCAGCCTCGGGGTGACCAACTTCCCCCGGAAAGCAGCAAAGAAGCAGCCACGGGTGGTGCAAATGGCCACCTGTGTGCTGGAGCGGAGGGGCTGCCATGGGGCCCCGGAGTACCTCATTGTGCAGAGACCCAACTCAGGTAATGGGGTTGGGTCGGAGGAAGATGAAGGCACCACATGGCCCCTTCCCCCTTGCATGAACGACAGGCCAACCTGGGAGAGAGAGATGCACCGGCAATGCACTTGCTGCTGAGGAAAGGAGCCCCTTGGGGCTGTGATGAGGCTCAGTGTCCCCAGATGTGCCCATTGCCAGCTCATATCCCCATCATGCCCCCTCCCCAGGTCTCCTGGCTGGGTTCTGGGAGTTCCCAAGTATCCCGCTGGCTCAGGGTCTGCAGGAGAAGCAGAGAGAGGTGCTGGCAGATCATCTCCAGGCCTGGACAGGGCAGCCCATGGCAGCTGGAGGCCTGCGGTTCATTGGAGAGGTGAGCCTGGAGCTGGAGGGATGCAGTGTGAGCCCCCTGCGCTCA